CGTGTCCACCTGGAGACACGGACGCCTTGTGCTGGGGAGGCCCGTTGGCCTGGATGGTGTGTCCCCTGCATGGGCCTCCCAGTGGGGGAGGGTCAGACGCAGGCAGCCATCAGTCAGGTCTGCTCCCTGGTCCCAGGAGCATCCTCTGCTGCGGTTCCCATGGCAACTGATGGGCAGTACCGACAGCAGGGAGAGCTGCAGCCGGGTCGTCACTGGGGCCCCCCAGGTTGGACGAGGGGCACGGGAATCAGCTTGCTGTACACGGAGTGGGAGGGGGGCCGGACGCCTGGGGGCCAGGGGCTCCCTTTGTCCATTGCAGGAGAAAGAACCCATGTTGTCCATCTCTCCTCTGAGCCCGGGCGCCCCCTCTGCATCCTCCACGCCATTAAAGATAGATGACCCCCGGGGGCAGAGGGCAGGGGGCGCCAGCTGCCAGGGCCCCGCGCCCGAGCTGGGCTGAGGGTCACTGGCAGGGGGCGCACAGCCGGACCCCCGGCCCTGACCTGACCCCAGCGGCTGCAGGGAGAGGCCAGGACGGTGGCCTCAGCAGGTGGCCGTCCGCCTGTCCCTAAGCACAAGTCCGTCCCGCGCACACGCATCAGAACCGAATCAGGAGACCCGTGGATGGCGAGGGGCCCGTGTTCTGGGCTCTGCGTCCTGCGAGCTGGCTTTGTCGTTGAAAACCTGTCGCAGGCCCGGCCGGCGGGGCTCAGGGGTGGAGCGTCGACCCATGAACCAGGAGGTCCCGGTTTGATTCCCCGTCAGGGGCACACGCCCGGGTTGGGGGCTCGATCCCCAGTAGAGGGCGCGTGCAGGAGGCCGCCGGTCCATGATTCTCTCTCCTCATGGATGCTTCTCTCTCTCTCTCTCCCTCTGCCTTCCTCTCTGACATCAATACAAATATAGTTTCTAAAAAAAGAGGAGAGGGGACCCCACGGGACCCCTCCAGGGGGAGGCCAGCCAGGCGGGGGGGCATTAGGGTTAGGGGCCAGGAGGCGGGCAGGGGAGCCTCCCTGCCACACCTGTGCTGCTGAGGAGGGAGGACGGGGGA